AAGAACATAGATAATAAGTTTCTAGGCAAGAACCATCAGCGGCTGGGTGGAATTTATCTAACGGTAAATAAAGGTGAAAAAGGTGAGAGAACCAATCATTTAAGAATTTACCTAAATTATGATCCTAAAAGTATGGAAATAATTATAAATACATATATTAAATATTCTAGAAACAATTGCATGATTTCGTAAACTTTTCATAGCAACCAGCACAATATTTTGAATCCTTACCATATTATAAAATGGTAGACCCCTTTCAAAAAAATAAAAATAAAATGGTAGACAATGGCTAAAACTTTCGACTCAATAGTGATAATAGAAAAATGAGACTTTCAGTTGCAATCTCATATGTTATTATGATAACTATGCGCTTATAATATTCAATATATATAGTTTAATTATTAGGCAGGGGATGGTGGGGAGGGGGGGGGGTTGGGGGGGGGGGCATGTGATGTATATATATAGGAATGAGTTGTTTGTTTGGGGGGAGGAATGGGGGTATGTTTGGTTGGATAACAAAGTTTTTTCATGAGAAATATTTTTTTTAGAGTTGAGGAAAATGTTGTTTTTGGTGTTTGGTTTATATAATTAATTTTATATTTTATATTAGACAATGAATTTTTTACATTTGACCAAAACAAAATTATTGGTAGGACATGAGATTTTGTTTTCTATGGGAATATGGAATAAAAAAAAACAAGGTGGATTGACAATTATACTTTTGTCGTTATTTATTTTTATTGTTATTTTTATTTGTTTGCAAGAGGCACATAAGTATTTATACTAGTTATTATTTACAATTTCAAATTCAAATCCAAATCCAAATCCAATCAAACAATAGAATTAATATTCTCATTAATTTTTTTCCACTAATCAAACGATCAAATATTATTTATGCAAAAATAAACAACTGTTGCAGTTTGTCTAATTGGTTGATAAGATGCTTATATAGTTTAGCTGTCCCTAGAAATTCCGCGGAGTCAACATTTATCTGCATACATATAAAATATTATTTCTTTTAACATTAATGAACTAATAACTTGGTGGTAGAGAACTATATTTCTTATGTAGAAGGTTCTGAGTTCAAATTTCAGCTTGTATACATCCACATCTATTTCTTACGTTTCATAACAAAAATTTAATTTTATTTCAACTAGTATTTGCCCCCGTGCGATGCACGGAATGAATTTGTTAAAATATTTTAAGAATATTTGAATCGATCTATAATTATATAAATTATTATATCGAATATTATATAATGTAATTGATAAATTGAGTTGGATCGATTGTATTTTCTAATGTTATAATTGCTTGAATTTGATCAAATAATTGGCCAAAATTAATAGTCAATGTATAGATGTACGCATTAAGTGCTGAAACTTTAGATATTTTAAATATCAGTGTTCAGTGAATTATATATGGGGATCATATTTAATTTTGAGTGAATTATTAATATTCATTACCTTTTCCAATTCGTCTAATTTGTTTTCCATCTTTAAGCAAAATCTTCCTTACACATTCTATACATAATTTTACATCTTTATATATGCGTATTGTAATGAGGTCCTGTAATTTTGAATAAAGATTTGCTACAAAATCAGTCATAATTAATTTCTTTTAAATCATTCATACGTATTGCAAAAACATTTCCATCTTTAACTACACAATTTTTCTTATAAATTGTGAATACTAAACGATTCTATTCAATTTTCCATTTGTAAATATATATATATCTTTACACAACTATATTTCCAGTAACATATATACAAACATTTTTTAATATTTCTACTAACTTTACATTTTATAAAATATATAATCGAGATTAATATTTTTTCATCTCGGCTAAACTTTTTGTTTTTTGACATACTCGGCTAAACCTTATAATTGCGCAATCCTTATATTCTTAGTATAAAATAACATTTTGTGTAAAATTTTTTAATTTTCATATCGATTAATATTCTTTCCATCTCGGCTAAACCTTATATTTCCATATCGTATTGCAAAACATTTTCCATCTTTAATTACAAAATTTCCTTACAAATTGTGAATACTGAATGATTCTATTTCATTTTCAATTTTTAAATATATATCTTTACATAACTTTATTTCAGTAACATATATATACAGATTTTTTTATATATATTTCCAGTAACTTTATATTTTATAAAATATATAACCGAGATTAATATTCTTTCTATATACTAAGTCAGTTTGGAAGTATTTTTCATTTCCAGTCAATTATTAATAGTCATTTCCTATTTCAATTCGCATAAATTTTATGTCATTTTTATTATCAATCAATTATTTTTTTTAATACATATTAATTAATTAGTTAATTATTAATAACATTGTTTTTATATTTCCACTAACTTTACATTTTATAAAATATATAATCGATATAAATATTTCTTTCCATCTCGGTTATACGTTGAGATGCAAACTTCATTTTACATTTTTATTAATGTATTTTATATCAGTAATTTTTATATTTTTAGTAATTTATTAATATTCATTTTCTTTTCCAATTGGCCTAGTTTCTATTAAAAAATTATATTTTCAGTAATTTATTAATATTCATTTCATTTTTATTTTTTAATCAATTATTAATATTCATTTCATTTTGTGCATTTGAGTCAATTTCAAAAAAATTTTACTTTTCAGTTAATTATTAATAGTCATTTTCTATTTCAATTGGCCTAAATTCTGTGCCGTTTTTATTGTCAGCTAATAATTATTTTTGCAATATTATTATTTTAAATACTATAATTATATTACCAATTATATTATAAAATACCATACATATTATTACTAATTATGCTATTTTGTTATTACTTAATTAATATTTTTTTGTACATAGTATTACCAATAGAATATTTAATTAATTAACTACAAAAGTTTGAGTAGAAAAAATAAAATAGGAAGATTTTGTTTATAATTAAGGTATAATATTATTAAATCAAAATTATTTAAAATATATATATCCACATTATTAAGAAAAAGGAGATATAATTTAAAAAATAAATTATTAATTAGATTACTTAATATAGTTGCCCTACTAATTGATTCTATGCTACTATGTATAATTCATATATTTGAAGACTTTTTAAATCTAAATACCTATTAATTGTCTTAATAATAATTAAAATTCTTTTTAGTCAATCAATATTCAATAGTACTAAAAATATTACTTTGAATTTTTATAAATAAGATATAATATTATTAAACCAAAATAATTAAAAATAATGTGTCCATAGTACAAAAGATTTTATAATGATAATTTTTATTGTCTTGGATTTTTTAATAATGGCTTGGATTTTTTATATTTTCAAAACTCATATAAATTCATACTTTTCCAAAATGCATGTGGAGTTATACATTTTCTTGTATGGAAAATTAATAGTTATTTATGGAGAAGTAACCAAACCTTTTGAAATCCACTTTGAAACTGGACTAAAATCTATGTACACACCCCCTAGAGGATTCCAAGCCAATGGGTAATATATGATCCATAGTCAGGTTATCCTACCTACTACCCTCAAACAATTTGAAAACTGAATCATAACTTATGTGATACTTTCAAAGCCTAATGAGTAGTAAATAGTCCAAGTAAACAGTACTCACTCTTACTGAACACCACACAATATATTATTTTCTCAAAATTTCATTATTTCTCCACAAATAAATATTTTCTCCACAAAAATACAATTTTCTCCAGAACATATAATTTTCTTCAAATACAATTTTCAAAAAAAAAATTTACAATTTTAATTTCTCCAAAATACAATTTTCTCCACATGATTTGTCCAAAATATAATTATAGTCCATAATCCAGTATTAATACAATTTCACAATACTACTATGTATACAACACCAAAAATTTCAAGCCAAGTATTTACATAACGCATGAGTTCGACAAATCGAAACTCATTCTCAATATTTCAAGAACCACCACTCACAATATTACCTTTTATCGATAAATGTACCTGTGTTCACATGAATAACATATAGCATATAATATCACATATAATATCAATACATACAATACTCGGAGAAAATAATAATTTTGGTGAACATAAAATCTTACCCTCGAAGACAAACTTTCTATCAACCTTAATAGCATCCTAACCACCTTGATAAAAAATCTGTGAATCAAATAAATCCAATAATAATAATAACCGAAGCATATTATTCACCATCAATCTCAACAAACTTAGATTTAAACAAAAGAATTTGGAGAGTAGAAACCATTACCTGAAGTAGAGATTAAGTGAATGAGTTTTGCTAGAATTGAAGAAGACGTAGGAATATATTGAAAATCATGAAGAACCGGTAGTGTGAGGGAAGATGAATGAATGCCAAAGTCTATACATTTTTATTTATAGGTGGAAAATAGTAATTCAAAAGGAAAGTATAATAATTTATTTGGCTAGGAGGATTTTATTTTTATATATATATAGATATAGATTTTTTTTTGAACAATCTTTCATTTTCCTTTTTCATTTTCATTGAATTAAGTATCCTTTTTTATTTTCCAATTTTATTAAATAAACTTCAGAAATATGCATATAAATTTACCTCAAAATATGCATATAAATTTACCTCTTACCATATACATTTACCTCTTACCATTGAATACCCTGTACGAAATATGCATATATAAATATGCAGTCTATATCATCTATATTATATATATTATATATATAATAAATTCGTATATGGTAAATATGCCATCTATATTATCTATCTATATTATATATATATATTGGATGATGTTACAAAAATGCCCCTAAGTTTTGGGGGGAAAACTTGATTAGGAGGATTTTATTTTTATATATATATAGATATAGATATAGATATAGATTTGGTATGATTTTTAAAGCCTCCAATTTCACGAAGGAGGTTAATGGGCCTCGTGGTAGTTGGATTGAGAAGGTCATCTCAAGTAGCCCGTGTAGTTCAACCCGGTCCATTTCCTATTGTCCAGCAAAACCCTAGCAGCGTCCCCGTCGAGCCAATATAAAACAGGTTCACACAGTTAACACATAAGGAGGACCTTAGAACTCCATTATCGTCTTCATTGTCAGCGAACGTTGCCGAGATCCAAGGTAAGTGAACTCATTGTATTCATACCGTCTTACTAATGTAGATACACGTTGATGCATACATAGAGGTGTTATATGCTCCTGTTCTGTTATCAAAAAGGTGGTATAGGATCGAGTGAGGATCAGATATTGATTTAAACTTGTTGGACTGTCGGGTTGCTTAATTTTCTGTTGGGATATGCAAATTCGAGTACTCAGAGGCAGAATTCAGTGGTGATATGCACCTGGGTTTGGGAGCGACAAGTTGTTGATAACAACAGCTAAAGAATTCAGATAATCTGAGCTTATATGCAGTCTCTTTTTGAATTTATGTCTGATTACTGAGTTAGATTGCATTTTTTGTAACCTTGTCGTAACATAAGAGAAATGGTTGAGGAAGTCAAGACCAAGTTACCTGTCCCGGAATCAGTATTGAAGAAGCAGAAAAGGAATGAAGAATGGGCACTTGCAAAAAAGCAGGAGCTCAATGCTGCAAAGAAGAAGAGTGCTGAGAACAGGAAGTTGATTTTCAACAGGGCCAAGCTGTACTCAAAGGAGTATGAGGAGCAGGTGCTTTGATAGCAGCTCAGCTATTATTTACAAAACAAAGTAAAACTGCTTCATGCCTGAAATTTGCCATTTAAAGTTGTATTTTGTTTATAGGAGAAAGAATTGATTCGTTTGAAGCGTGAGGCAAGGTTGAAAGGAGGGTTTTATGTTAACCCAGAGGCAAAGCTTTTGTTTATCATAAGAATTCGAGGGTAATAATTCTACTATGCACAAACCTTATGATACTTTTTATTGTGTTTTATTATATTGGTTTGATGAGACTGGCTTGTTTTTACTTAAACTTGTACTCAAAATTGTAGGATTAATGCAATGCACCCAAGGACAAAAAAGATTCTGCAGCTTCTGCGTTTGCGCCAGGTTACAAATATCTCCATCTTTCTATCTGTAATAATAGAATGCTGTTAATCTGTTCTTTATACTGTTTCTTCAATTTGCAAAATATAGATTTCGTTGATGGCTCATTTCTTTTCATAATAGACATGAAAGAATGAGCTGGCTAATGAAATGAATTCAATTGTAAGTATAATGTCTATTCATGTATTGTTAAGCAAAATTGACTAGTGAATTATTGTGCCAGTTTGTTTTCAAAGAGGAAAGAAACTTGCTATAAAACTTTCATCATTATTTCTATTTTAAAAAACACATAAGGTGTGGTTTCACTGGTTTGAGGGAGGGATGCTGTTATACCAATCTGAGGGAATTATCCTGAAACCCTTCTTCTGAATGAAGGGAATGCAGCATTAAGGGTCACTTACTTGATTTTTTCCTTTATTGGACAATATTTTATTCCCCATCGCAAAGAAAGTTAATGGCAGTGTAATTACTAATTACTGCATGACGAAAAATGTTTCCTAGACTTATCTGATTAAAATTTCTTTTATGCTTTGGCTGCAGATCTTTAATGGTGTATTTTTGAAAGTCAACAAGGCAACAATGAACATGTTGCATCTAGTTGAACCCTATGTAACCTATGGGTATACATTTATTGAATTATCATTGTTTACTCTTTTTAGTAGTTACCTTCAGTGCCATTTTAAACCATGAAATTTTCTGTTTTCAGTTATCCAAACCTGAAAAGTGTCAGAGAATTGATCTACAAGCGAGGTTATGGGAAATTGGACAAGCAGAGAATTCCTTTAACAGACAACTCCATTATTGAGCAGGTCAGTTTGTAAATATGGTTGAGTTATTGCACCTCAAACTTGGTTGAGCAGGTCAGTTAGTAAACTTTGTTTCATGTACTTCCAGGCTTTGGGGAAGCATGGAATTATCTGTGTTGAAGATCTCATCCACGAGATACTCACTGTTGGACCCCACTTCAAGGAGGCAAACAACTTCTTGTGGCCATTCCAGCTCAAGGCACCGTTGGGTGGACTGAAGAAGAAGAGGAACCATTATGTTGAAGGTGGAGATGCAGGCAATCGTGAGGATTTCATCAATGAGCTCATCAGGAGGATGAACTGATCCCAACCCAGTTTTGTTACATAAGTACTCGAATTTGGTTGTTACCCATAGAAGATCCTTTACTGTTTAGTTCTGAAGCTATCGAGTATCTTCATTTTGTTCAAGAATCAAGACTATGCTGTCAAATATTAAGTGCTTATTTTGTCAGGCTTGCAACCTGAAAAGATTACTTGGAGTAGAAATTTTTTAAAATGCCTTATTGAATTTTATATTGCTTTTGAAAGCTTTAATGTATTTAATTGTCGACGTTACTTTTTAAACTTCATCTTAATGGCATTTCAATGGGTTTGGAGTCTAGTCGATATCCAACAATGTTACTTGCAACAATTAAAACCTTTCAGAGGGACAAATATAATCAGACTTACACGTGCCGGAGAGGACCTAAAAAAGTATAATTTTATTGTATTTACTTATTTAGTTTAGCTCGAAATTTATGTAATGAGAAAATTGATTGTAACAACGAGCTAATATTTTACTGTAGAAAGATGTTTGGTAAATTATTATAATTGATTATAAAATTGTTTTCATAACTTTTTGAATTTTAACATTTTAGAATAATAAATTTTTATAAAAAATTAATTAATTAAATATTTATATTGACTATTTAGTTAAATAAAAATTAATAATAATTAAATATATTAAAAATGACTAATTATATTACCAAACAGAACTAACTTGAACAGGAGATAAAATTTGGGGATTACGGTGGTTGTAAAAATCGTAAAATTCTTTTTCCGGATACTCATATAAATTCCCAAAACCGCGCCGCACGTATTTCATCTTTTTTTGCCTCCGTTCCTGCGCGGTTTCTCTGTCGGATACGTCATACGTGCGCCCCCACAAGTAAGATTCTCACCTTCGTCTCTGCATCATTATAGCTACACATATGTCTCTGTGTGTGTTTTTTTAAACCGAATCAAACAGATAATCCGCAATTCATTGGATGAAAACTCGCAAGTCTAAATTTAAAAAGCTCCAATTTTTCAAACCTCGAAATTGCAGATCAAATATGCAACTAGGTGCAGAGATCTATTAAGCTTTGGGTGTTTCTCTGATTACAAGATGAACAATAAAACCAAAATCTTGCGTTAATAATTTAGTTTACGATGTTGTTGTAGGCGTATATGGGTTTGCCGAGATTTAAGCGTCCAACGGGGGAATGTAGTGAATCAAGTTCCAATCTTTATGTGGCTAACTGTGGGCCAGCAGTTGGGCTCTCGTTTGATACAATTGCTTTTGTGTTTGGCACATATGGTGAGGTGAGGGGAGTTTATCCAGCTGATGAAAGTGGCACTCGTGTCATTGTATCTTATCATGAAGAGAGTGCTGCCCAATCAGCACTGAAAGCATTGGATGGACATCCATGTCCTGAACTTGGAGGACGTTCTCTGCATATTCGCTACTCTGTACAATCAATCGCCAAGGTGCGAAATTTGTTGTCTCATGTGGATATTATTGCACATTTCTATACATTTTCAATAGATCATCACATGTTTGAGGTAGCAGACGATAAGGTCATCCTTATTGAGAAAACGGAGGTAAATGGATTATGTTGGTGGGTAGTAGTTTTTGGGTTGCAGTGTGGGAGTATGCAATCCTTAGAATTGTGACACAAGGGGCAGTGATGCCATTTAGTCATTTGAATTTCCATATAGGGTGGTTTTGCAACCTGGCATTCATATTTGAGTTATTCTAGATTATTGCCAATTTTATCCAACTAATGAATGGATTGAAGTTAGGTCTTGTTCACAAGCTTGTCATAACTGTAACTTTACATGGAGATTCATTGGGTTTTGACTAGCCTGAATTTCTTTTCAGGTTCGAGTCAATGACTCATCTGTTGTGTCTTTGGAAGCTTCGGAGTTGAAAATTCCAGGTCTTTACTTGATTCATGACTTCATCACTGCTAAAGAAGAGGAGGTAGGGGGTTTTCTTTCTTAAATTGGAAAAGTATACTGGATTTTGTTGACATCTTTTACATACTTTCTTATCCCCCCTGTTGAATGTTATCTGATTGGATATCTTAGCAATTTTTAATTTTTTTTGTGTGCAATTGGACTTTAACTTTTAGGAACTCCTTGTAGCTGTTGATAGTAGACCTTGGCAAAATCTTGCAAAAAGAAGGGTTCAACATTATGGTTTTGAGTTTCGATATGATGTAAGTTCCAACATATTTGCTTTGGAAGCTGTTTTCAGTGGATTGGTGGCAACATAATTGTGACCTTTTCAGGTTGAATGAAGTATACCCCCCCCCCCCCCCCCCCCCCCCAACAAAACAATAAATAAGAAAGATGTGCTTTTGTGTTACAGATCAGAAATGTTAACACAAGCCAGTTCTTGGGTGAACTTCCACAATTCCTTTATCCAATACTCGAAAGACTATCCTCCTTTCAAAACCTAGGTTACACTGGAAGTGTTGTTCTGGACCAGTTAACAGTAAGTAGTTCTATTATTATTATTATTATTATTATTATTAAATATCCCCCTACAATCATATTTGTCCTTAAGTATTAAGTGGAGCATATTTTTTGAACTTATTAACAACAATAAATTAGAAAATGTCAATACAAAAATACCCGTGCAAGGTCTGGGCAGAAGTACCAGTTTAGATTAACACTACTTTATTGCACTCAAGATTAATATATTTTCTGCAATCTATAACAGGTTAATGAATATCCACCTGGAGTGGGGTTGTCTCCACATATAGATACCCATTCTGCATTTGAGGAACCAATTTTCAGTCTTTCATTAGCAGGGCCTTGTGTAATGGAGTTCAGAAAGTATTCGACAGGTGTCTGGCTGACAAACTCCGAATCAATATGTGATGGCGAGATTCAAAACTCTGACAAGACCTCTAATTTTTTGAGGAGAGCTATTTATCTTCCCCCACGATCAATGTTATTATTGTCTGGGGAGGCACGATATGCTTGGCACCATTATATTCCGCACCACAAGGTTAAATTTGCTATTATAAGTATCTGGAATTGTTGAATCTTCTTTCTTTTTCCTCTCCCACAAATGTGTGTACTCTGATGTCTTTGTTGCAGGTTGACATTGTGAAAGACAATATAATTAGACGGGCATCAAGGAGAGTGTCATTTACATTGCGCAAGGTATGCTTGTGATAAGAACTGCCTTGATTCTTTTAGTTCAAACTCAGAAGTAACGCAGTTCTTGAACAATTGCTATCTTTGTCAAACTCCCGAATTGTAATCTTTAGAAGTTAACAATGGTCTTTCTTGTGGAGATGCAGGTCAGGGAGGGACCTTGCCAATGTCAATTTTCTGCATACTGTGATTCCCAGAAATGATATGCAGAATAAGGGGAAGGTTCGAGAAAACTTTCATGTTTGATTTCACAAGAGTAATTTCCAAGGAAAAACTCATATGTAAGAGTTTGACAGGGCTAAAGGAGATGCTGTTTGGACTTTGGAGAGCATCAGAGCCCAAAACCTCAATACAATAGAGTTATCATGACTTTTTTTGGCAACAAATGTAGTAACATTAACAATTACGGAGTACTTCATTTTGGCCTTTTTTAGCAATCAGCAGATAGCGGTTAGCGTTTAACAGATTGTGTTAGCGGATAACGGATTGTGTCAGTGGGTTTGACCGGCGGATTGTATTAGCAGAACAATGTAACAGCGGGTTTAAATACATTGAGAAGAATCAATGTAAACACAGTTTGGCATATGAGAACTGAAAGCCAACTGCAAATTTTGAAATACAAATGCATTCTTAATCAAATATGGAAGTGTGAATAATCTAGGTTGGTTTATCTGAACTTTTGAATAGCAGTTATGATCTTTTTCGTAAATTGAATAAGTGATAGTAAAGGCATGCACTGATGCACATGTTCACTTCATCAATAAAAGCATATATGCATGTTAGTTGCCGACACATTCACATATTTATTTCACTCCCAAAGTGGGTGGAGAATATACTTGATCAATCAATTATTAATCATAAAATAAAAAGTATTTTTTACTGACTGAAAGTGTGCTTCTCAGTTACTGTAGTACAAATGTAGTAAAGATACCTATTTGTGTGCTATACTCATATATTCCTATAAGAAGAAACCAAGCACTCAGTTTTGTGCAATGACAATCTTCCTTTATTCTAAATATACTTCAATGAATCATTAATAAATTTCCTTTTATTTCTTCTTCTTCTTCTTCTTCCCTTTGAGAATAATTGAAATCTTGAAAAGAATGGTCCAAAAGAATGCTGCTTCCAATGAACTATATTCTATATCAATGGGTGCTCTGCAGTGTCAAAAACGCGGTTGTGGCAAGTTTTATCACAAGGATAAGGGCAGTCGATCTTCTGAAATGGTGCCCTGTCGTAAAACCAGTCACCAACTGCTTTTGCAATTGTCTGCACCATAAGTTTTGAGCAAAGAATCGGTGAGTCTCTCCCCACATATACATACAGCGATAGTTGTAAGTTCAGGAAAGCAAGGAAACGAGATCAAACATAGCGGGTTAGCTGATCTTTTACCTTGTTTGCCAATCTTGGAGAGTCATTTCTGAACCACGTTTCTTGGACTTCAGTTTGACAGTGTGCGTAGCACGAGTTGATAAAGTACCCTCTCGATGAAGAAGGGCCTATCCCAAATAACGCCCTTAAGAACTGCAGTCTATAACCTGGGAAATGACTAAAAAAATCTCAGGGGGAAATAGTCATCTGCCCAATACAACTGGATATAACCTCAGAATTGTTACCTTGCATTACTTGAAGCTGTTTGGGTGTACATTTTAGTACGTCTAGCTTGCAGTTGTGCCATGTCCCGAGGGGATCAGCAACCCCGGGAACCAAAATGTTCTTTATCTGGAGGGTCCGAAATTCAAGTCAGGAAACAAGTAGGATTCACGACACAATTACTGCAATAATCCCTTTCTGAGATATTGAATAAGATTAGTTAAATAACTAGAGGAGGGAATTCCGACATGTTATAACCTGCCAGGAATCATAGGCTGCATTGACTATGAATAGAGGTGTCCGGATATGTTGTGCCACGTTTTGAGGGAAAAAACACTGCAATGTTGCTAAGCTGTGTTGGTGTGAGATGGCACCAGGTAAATGCCGAATAAATTCTTGAAATGACTGCTCTTACCAAACTCGGCTTCAATCTTAAAGTACACGATAAAGGCAAATTCTTCGCTGATGCCTGAAGCCAAGAACAAACTAAGGTTTAGGACACGGGAAATTCAACGAACCAAACTTTCAAAATGATAAATCAATCATCAATCGAAGAAAAAAAAAAAAAAGGTTCAAGAAGCACACATGCGTTCGAACAATGTCACTATAGAACTCTTCAATATATGGTGCATGAGAAATATCCAACCTGTCACAAGGCATCCATACATTTGTTAGCTAGAAAGGATATGTAACGATTACTATAAAACACGTATAATAAATCATCTTACGCATTAATAAAATATCCTGCATCTGCTAAGCATTTTACTTTGGTGCCCATTGGGAGGAGAGCTTTGAAGCTGTCACAATGCAGAATCGAGGCCAATCCTCCAGCTGAACATCCCGACAATATAGCCTACACGAGAAGAATTCCATTACCAAGTGAGGACGATGGTGTCTGCAAAACGGGGAGAGAGAGAGAGAGAATACATTTTCAGCATTCTTCATTCCTTTTACTAATAAGTCCTCGATGACAGCAAGAAAAACCCTCGCTCCTCTGAAGTGAAGATTGGTTTTCTGTTGGTATAATTAAGCATCTCCGTCACTTTGAAAAACATGGGTATTGGACGTAATGTCTAAACCAAAGCAAATCAATCTATCAGTACTAATACGGCAGGCAGGCATACAGGATTTACTGCAGCAACATCACCAGTAAAAGAAGATCCATCGCAATATCTAACTTTGACTCTGTTCCAATTGTAAAAATCTGGAGGTTCGAATATGACCAAAGTTTGAGATTTATGATATTCCGGTATGCACCATAACAAGAAAGGAAAAAAACATATAAACATATAAGTTTACCAGGATTAAACTGAGCCCTGTTGCCCAGGAGCCCCGAGAAAGCAAGCTGCTTTGCCATTTGCTTGGAGGACCCCAATCGAGTATGCATACGTGAAAGGCAAGTTGTAACATTATTACACCATCCTCCTCCCTGAAAATCCAGACTGTATCAGGAAAGCTTCTTTTGAGTGCAAAGGCAGAAAACTTATACTACTTGGACCCAAAAAGTAAGGAATTGACAGCCTTATAGTACAACAATTCAGAACATTATTTCCAACTAATCATTCACATAGATGAATTGAGTTCTGCCATTCCAATTGGAAACACTTTCCTTAATCCAGCAACTCAATATTTCCACTTTTAACTTCCAAAGGCACGAAATCAAACACACACACTGACACACAAATGAGATGTTTTTTAAGAGTAAACCTCAAGTTGGATTAACCAATTGTTAATTCCTGTGCCATATCCTCGATCAAGATGGTACGCCGGTGGACTCCCATCCAAACATACTGCAACAACATTGTTATCACCAAACTCACATGATTCACTGCTAACTCACCCAAAAAAAAAAAGAGGAAAAATTTAATGTGGTACAGTGGATTTCTAACCTGCTCCTTTTGCAACAGCATTCAGGACATAAGTGATGTCCACCAAGGAGCTAGCTGTTCTCAAAAGGACCACCAATAACACCAATGCACGTAGCCATTGTTGCAACCCCACTTTCACCATACTGCAAAATTCCAACAACCCCCCCAAAAAAAAACAAAGAACAGAACAAGAAAACATTGTGAAAACTCGAAAAGAAAACATCATTCACAATTTCGTAACAAAGAAATGCAGAAATCTAATGCAGAAATCAAATGAAAAATTCCCCAAAAAAGAAAAAGAAAAAGAAATCTTTATATATTTTTTTGGAGGGAAAGATATTATTCCGATATAAGCAGTAAAATTTTTGACATTTATGATCACACTATTTCATCATCACCCAACGATGCGATTCATACTTAGTAACTGATAGAAATCAAGTTAAGCTCAGGATGTAATAAAGACTATTTTTTTCCCCCCAGATTTCCCATTAAAAAAAATAGCATTCTGGTGGTACCTGTGATCAATGGGGGTGCTTTTATGTGCCAAAGGCTCAAACCCAGTTTAGAATTCTGGTTTTCGGAGCTTATTATAAGCTCCAGAATAGCAGAAGAAAACGCAAGTGCAGATGTGAAAGCGTATGGCTTTTTTTTTTTGGTAGGTGGCTTTTCAAGAAGAACTTTTTATAGCAGAGCTTAATGTGGCAGCCGACACTACAGCACTAGTAGCGTTCACTATATTTACTATTTATTTATCGCTATAGCTATTATAGATTTAATTAAAAAAAAAAAAAAAAGAGACAGAATATATGCTAGCATATATATATATATGTAGCGGACACGAGGTCCGAGGAGTGACATTTGGGAATTGCCCATGACGAATCTACTAATGTTTTTTGCACCAATGAATCCCGCTGACGGCTGCTTATAAAATTATAACTTATGAGTTCTTTGTTTCCATCTAATCTATTCCAATTTCATAATTTCTTTTGATTTACAGAAAAGTTATGAATCCTACTGCCATGCCATAGCATGATTGGAGGAGCTGAAACGAAAGCGGAGAGGAAATGACGGTGATTTAATTAAGACACAGTGGGCCCACGCATTACTCTCACTCGGCTGTCACTCGTCGAGTGGGTGGTACGTGCCCGTCACTTTCCGGTCTGGCCTCCTTCGAAAATCGAAAGCCAATTTTATGCGGAGTACATAATTAATTTGAAATTAATTAATTAATTAATAACCACCATATAACGTGGTTATTTAATTGGTTAAAAAAAAGTAGTAGTAAAAGGTCAAAGGAATATGTGTAGGTTTCCTTTTGTAGCGTAAACCATGCCAGCGCTGTTTCACTGTCTGTTTTCCGGTCGTGATGCAGACGCGCAACCGTGACAATGTTTTGAACCACCCACGTTAAGTGGTCCACCACCACCATATTGGTGGGTAAACAAGAACATACCAGTCAGTCTATATGATGATTTGAGTGGTACACTGCAAGCCAACAACTTCAACCCTTTTTTTTTTGTATTCGCAATATAGCTTTTTTTTTAAAAAAAAAAAATAAAAAAAAAATAAAAATTGTTTGGCGAAATTCCACATCAGTTGATTGAACGGACTCTTTTATGCATTATGGTGCATGAACTCGAACATATATGGATGGAAAGTCATGGCGGATTTGGTGGAGATGAAAAGAAATTATTTGTTTGGACAAGGAATGGAAGGGAGATCGAAATAAGAAAAAAGACAACAGTGGAAGAATTTGAGTGAATAAGCATCTAATCTAATAAAGATATGTGAACAATACATGTACAAAATTACTGATTGGTTAATTGAGATTTTCTTTGTTCAATCAAACATATTTATCTTGAGGACTAGTTTTTTTTACGCGCATTGCGCGATTGGGATAATGCCCAATGTTTTTTTTTTAATAAGTACTTTAAAGTATATTAAGGTAAGATTATATTGAAATTGTTCATGCATAGATAATTGAATGTTGAATTTGCGTATTTAAATAGGTAATTCTAAGTTTACAAATGCAAGATAATATAGTTAATATTGATTATAATTGTCAATAAAATAATTGTATATGTATGGTTGAAACCAAATACGGGATATAAGGGAGAGCAAATAAAAATTAGGGCAAAAATATTAATTAATATATACTAATATTGAAGAGGTAACTGCTGATTGTCAAACAAGGACATTACGAGGTAGTTTCCAACTTCAATTTGTTATGTGATATGAATACTCTTTTTGTCAATAAATCCCCCAAGTAGTTAATATGATTGGCTTAATTATATTTTTTTTTTATTTTTTTAAAACAATTATTATTATTATTATTATTATTATTATTATTATTATTATTATTATGTATACCTTTAAGTCATTTTACATGTTAATCTAAACAACTAATTTTTTCAAATATCTTTTTACCAACCATTGATATAATTCGCTGGTCAAATCCGATAATATAATCCGCTAACGCTAACCGCTAACTGCTAATTGTCAAATAAGGACATTACGAGATAGTTCTCACTTCAATTTGTTGTGTGATTTGAATACTCTCTTTGTCAACAAATCCTTCAGGTAGTTAATATGATTGGCTTTATTAATTATATATATATTTTTTATTTTTTCATGATATTAATGAAATACTTGGTAAATAAATATATAACATTATTTTGTATTATAACTTTGATATTTAATATAAAAAAATAGTGCACAAAAAAGATAATAGACAATGTGGTGAATATAATCAATTGATGAATTTGAATGTAAAGAATTTTTACATTGGAGAAAAATAAAGACAATATAACTAATAAAATTATTTCTCTTAATTAATTTATTAATAATGAATATTTTTTTAATAAAGACATTGTAGTGACAATATAGCGAATATAATCGATTGATGAATTTGAATGTAAATAATTTTTATATTGAATAAAAATAAAGACAATATAACTAATAAAATTATTTCTCTTATTTAATTTATTGATAATGAATAATTGTATTGAATAAAAATATTGTAGACACATAATTCTAAATTAAAATAATACATATGTATTATTTTTTGTTGTAGCTAACTAAATTATTATTTTAATTTAATAAGCGTAAAATAGAGTACTAATTATGCCAACTTTGATTGGGATGAGGTTCGAACCTAAGACCTTTCTTATTGAAATCAATGAGTAAGTTAACGGTGAACTAACAGAAATTAACGAAAAAGATAATATTTAACGGATAATCATATTCATTATGGATAAATTAGGAAATCTTAAGGAAAAATTAAAATCTGATCAATCTGAGCCATTCATTTGATTATAAAATTTGACCGCCATTTTTTATACCCATTATAGGTCTAACTCTCTTGGGCTCTTATTAGTATAGTAGATATATGAAATTTGTGTCACTTAGTTGATGGTAATGGAGATATTGAAAATGACCTAAGAATGTAGATTCGAGTCGGAGATCATAGTCCATAACCCAAGGCACAAGAAGAGTCCATGACTCATGGCTAAGAGCATCCACACCAAAGCATAATAGGGAGATAATAGTACACTAATATGCACTTCAATAGATGGGAAGCAAAGATAATACCAAAAATAATCCTCCTGCAAATGCCAAGATAATGGCAAAAAAAAAAAAAAAAAAAAAAAAAAAAAAAAAGGAACAAGCGCTGCTAAGCGCGTTTCACGCGGAAAGAATTCAAAGCCGGGCGCGTGCGTTGCACGCGCCTGACGCGTCTGTTTACAGCATTTTTTTAATTTTAAAAATATTAATTTTGTTTTTTGTTTTTTGTTTTTTTTTTTCTCTCCCCTCCCACATTCTCTTTCTTAATCACTCTTACATTATCCCTCAATTCTCCCCAACTGATGTGGATGCTCTAAGAGAAAGGAATATTCCAAGCAAGACATAAATGACCTAGGCAAAGGGCGAAGGCAATCGGGGCTAGTCTTTGGAGGACTTATTGTGGTAGACTTATAAGTTGAGAATCAAAGCCGGTAACATCTCAAATTTATAGGACTATTATTGGTAACTTTAGAAAAATTGAAAGACTTTATTGTAGTAGGCTTATAAATTGAGAATTAAAGTTGATAATACCTCAAACTCGAAAGACCATTTAGACATTTAATAGAATTTACTTTTAAACAAAAAATAAAAAATAAACAGATATCACTTTGTTGGTTAATATGGGCAATTTATATCCTACACCACGGCGCGCGTTGCACTGTGCGCCCAGATGCAAAACGACGTCGTTTTAATTATTATTATTATTATTATTTTTGAAATTTCACGTCCCAGTGAATGGCAGTTATTTTTTCTTTAAAAAAAACCCCTGTTCAAAAATGTACATAATGTTATACTAGAATACACATAATTGTATACATGAATGTACATAATTATATAACAAAATATACATACTCTTTTTAAAAGATAATACACATAATCTAACATAATACATAATAAACATAAACTTTTAACATAATACACATCAACTCTTAACATAATACACACAAATTTTCTGATTCGGATGTACATAATTGTATAAAAAGAATGTACATAATTGTATAAAAAAATGTACCTAACTGTATGAACAAATATACATAATTGTATGAACAAATACACATAATTGTGTGAACAAATACACATAATCACAGCAACTTCCTACTGCGCCTCCCAAAACGACGTCGTTTTGAGAGGCATGCGACTAGGGGTGTAAATGAGCCGAGCAGCTCGCGAGCCGCTTGCGAGCGGCTCGGTCAAAGCTCGGCTCGAGCTCGGTCAAAATCGAACTCGAGCCGAGCTCGAGCGGCACGTTTAGTAATCGAGCTCGAGCCGAGCCTAGATATTCTAGGCTCGTGGCTCGTCGAGCCGCTCGCGAGCCATATAATATATAATATATATAATACATAATATCATATAATATAATATAATAATAATAATATATAAAAATAACAATTAGAAATTAAAATTTTAAACTCAAAATCCCTAAAATATTTCTATTATTTATGTATGGATAAAACAAAGTAGTTTGAATTTTTAATCAAAAGTTTTAAATAGGTCAAATTCAATGTCAAAATCGAGCTCGAACTCGAGTTCAAGATCGAACTCGAGTTCGAACTTGAACAATCGAGCTGCTCGAGCCGAGCTCGAGCAGCCCGAAAATTACCGAGCTCGAGCTCGAGCATCAATTCTCGAGCTCGATTGAGCTCGAGCTCGAACTCGAGCCGAGCCTTAATTAACGAGCTCGAGCTCGAGCCTACCCATGCTCGAGCTCGACTCGGCTCGTTTACACCCCTACATGCGACGTAACGATTGGTTAATATGCCATGTCCAAATTTAATTGTTGGATTATGCGAAAAAATACGTAACCCAACTTCATGCTCCTAGGCCCAACTGTTCCAAAATTAAGCCACGCCCGTCCGGGCCAACCAAATTTAGGATTGGGGTAGGATCAATGTTTATTTTTATTTTTATTTTTATTATTTTTATTATTTTTATTTTTTATTCTAGTTTGTATATATAACTAGTTATATATTACAGTTTTGCACGTTTGAACAAAACACTATAATACATGGACTTCATAGGTACTTTGACTCCGTAAGTAATATACTAGAAATAATATAATATTTGCTAGGAATCAAACATAGGTCTTTGGGTTGTAGGTGTGAACAAAATACCACTTGAATGAGGATTTGATTGATGATGTCATAATTGGAGGTGAGGCCACCTTATATAGAGTTCT